TACCGATGGTTAGCTACACTGAGGGATATGGCTAGGTGTCGCAAACAGTGGCGCTCGTGCATCCACTCATTATTCCTCTAACACCATTCTATATGAATTCTTCATCTTCCGCTCGACTTTGTTTTTAATATTCTGTTCTTTCAGCTCTTTTATCCAAATGGGCAACCAAAACCGGCGGACGAAAGTTCATGGTTAATGGTTGTAAAAGCTGAAACCGAAACTGGTAATGTCTATACACTCTTTTTCCCTGGGTTACGGTTTTGGTCTCCGTTTTGCGGAACTCGCTTTCCTTCGTTCCCTTCTCCATTTCTCTCTTTTGTGTATCCCGATCACAGGTCACCAATGACCCTTTCAAGGTTGCTATCTTACAATGTTCCGTGTTTCCGGCTTTTCCCAAACTTTCTCCAAAGACAGGTTGAATGCTCTGCACAGTGCTCTCTGTCACATTTATAGTATGCCTTCGTGTGATGTAAAACACTTCATATGTATATGGTCATCTACTAGTGATGCACTGTAATAAACACAGCTCCTTACCGAGATAGGTGCTCCTGACATTGATGCGGTTCCCGTAGATCCTGCAGTTGTTTCAAGGACAGCGACGGGGACAGTTCCGCCTCCATCAGAAGAAGTATCCGTTGCTTGATTCCCAGAAGAGCCGACCGTCGAATGGGACTCTGATGCAGTTGCACTAGTTTCTTTCAACGATTGTCGACAACGATGATCCCACTGGGCAGCGGTATCAATCATATCCAATGCAAGCCGACGTTGTTCAACCGGAAGCTATGTTCATGGTGGTTAGGGGAACAATGGTAGAGAAGTTGTCGAAAACAAAACTACATGTCAGTACAAGTGAATATCATCCAACGGCGCACCGTTGGGGTTAAGGTCAGATAAACGGGCATCGTTAATGAAAAAGAATGATCAGATTTGAATGGATTATCGAAATAGAATGAATCACAGGAACGGTACGCTCTCCGAGGTATAGCAAAAACAAAAGCATATAGGAGGATAAACTAAACAGTAGATAGAAAAAAATTCTTGCGCGTATTGGACGACTTCTAATCACATACAGAGAAAGAGATGATAGTGCTACGTGTAAGTAAAAGAGCGGACCTTTGTACCTCGAGTTCGAGGACCGCGGAGCGTTTCTAAAACAAATCAGGAAGGCCGAAAGAAATGAACATTGAAGACGTTGGATGACATTTATTCAACAGAATGCGGATGCGATAGGATTTGCTAATATATATGAAGAATCGAACGCTGGAATAAGAATGTTCGAAACAACAGGCTTATTTTGCTTTAACAAAGCTGACCGGTTACACATAACGTGTGACTTTCTCCAAATAGGAATGAAAGCAATGACCATGTGGATAACTTATTGATCTCTGTATTTAACCACATAGAGCGGTGATCACGGATACGTACGAACACGAACCTGATAGTGCAGCCTCTGCACATTATTTTACAGAATCAAGTAATAAATGGCAAGAACCCGCGGTTCATTCATAACCCATAACTGGTCTTAACATGGACAAAATGTGGAGTTTCGCTTCATCTGAGGTCTTTATAGAACCGCGTTTGATAGCGTCCGTTGTGCCAACCAAGTCTGTGGTGGAATCATTCTTGGTAAGTAATTAATTGCCTACTTCAACTGAATACAGTGATTGTTGTAACGAAGGCAGCAGAAATCACCATCAGATCGAAAGCGGTCGACCAACAGGCAGTTTACATCGCTTAATACGTTTAAGAATTTGACTGATCCCGCATGCATTTGATGATAAAAATGCGAAAATACAACACTGTAATGAATCGATTTCGGAAAAAGAATAGAACATTTAGTTCACTAAGTAGAAATAGGAATGGTCCCGTTGTAAATAGACTTAAATGATGAGATTCCACTGACAGAAGTCATATTACTTGAATTTGAACAAATAACGCCAACAGGGATGAAGCAAAACGAAAGGATATATTGATCAATTGCGAGAAAAATATTGATTGCAACTGTAAGGAAAAGCAAAGCGGTTACCTGTTGGTTTGATAACCTTGATATAATGACGATGATATGCGAGAGGAGCTGATGTCGAATTGGATAGTACAAATCTGCATGACGGACAACGATTCCACTGTCGAAAAGAGAGGAACGCAAGAATGTGAGAAAAGTGATAGGCACTGAAGAGCTCGCAAGGAACTCCGTGATACATAGGGCGTGCGAGAATTTCAATGAAATGTCAACATATGAAATAGGGTAAGTACATTTTGAACACAATGAAAAATGGTTGGCGTTGGCAGAGGACAGTGTCATGGGCAATGAGGGTCGATCAGGTGTTTTTAATAGAATGACGGTTAACAGCGGCATGATATGGATGCAACTCAAAACCAGAGGTGTGTTCATCGTAAACGCAACAACAAGTATAACAGAAAACAAAGGCATAGGATACGAAGCAGAGTGCAATGGGGTTAAACATTTATAGTGCGTAACAAAAATAACATTCCTTTGCTCGTTTCAAGGTACACCTTAGGATATCTTTCGTATTAATTTATTATTTTTCTCAATAGGGTAAGCGATTTTAAGAGGTACACCGCACCACATTTACGCATTCTGAAAATTAAAAATCGAACGCTAAGTTACACTATTGGTACGTTCAATCCACTAAACAATCTATCGTGGTGATCTGCACTTTTGAATTACTGATTACATTGCAGTAGTAAAACTGAGACTTCAACTTGGGCCTTTTAGAAAGTAAACTTAGGAGTTTAAATTTCATCGTAAACGACAGAATGCTAAAAACAAAGTCGAGCGGAAGATCAAGAATTCATATAGAAT